TATCTATCTATCTATCTATCTATCTATCTATCTATCTATCTATCTATCTCTATCCTGTTAGAATTAACTAAATTCTCAGCTAATTCACTGATATACTAATATTAATTGGATTGACATGGGCAGCTATAGAAATGGAATAAATTAACAAACAATTAACAGATGAATAGAAATAATGAATTAAGTATGAAATCATAGAGAAGATAGTGTAATAGGAGAGTGATATAAAAAAAACAGAATTATAATTGTTTCTACATTTACTCTTTTCCTTTCAATTGCCACGTTTTATTCATCTCCTTTTTGCATGAATTCAAATATCTCTAAATAATGACACATCCTTATGTTTTTTCTACACTATTATATTTGGCAAAAAAAAATTCTACCAGCCTGTCCAGAGGAAAATAATAAAAAAATAGCTTTTAAAAGATGCTGTCAAGCACAACTGGAGTTAGTGATTTACTGTCCTTTTATTAGTCAAGTAATGGTGACTATTTCCTGTTATTTTTATAATGAAATAGTGCCATTTCTGTTTTACTGAAAAAGACTGAAAACAGTCTCTTTTTGCCATGAATGCACTTAAATATACACATATCAATTCAGCATTATTTGTATTACCCCACAGAGTACATTAAACTTGTCTGACTATTATTAAAGATGAAGTTTAAAACTTGGACAGATTAAAATGGAAGAAAAAAAAGAAGGAAAAGGTATATAAGGAAAAAACAAATATAAGAAATACAATTAGATGCAAATAGGCCTTAAGATTTCAATAGCAAAACAAATAACACAAGTTACTGAGACCACCCATATCTATGTACCCTGGTAAGAATATATTTACCTTGCTGTAAACTATTGTGAAGATGATTAACAAATGCAGTTAAGATTGTTGCTACATTCATTACTTGTGAACACTGTGCCAGACCAAGTGTAAAAAGTTCATTCCAGCAGGCTTTTACTAATGATATGCTATTATCCTGCCTATTTAAAAACAAACAAAACCCATAATTATTTAATGAAAATATCTGCTTCAATTCAACATGTGCATAACTCTGTTATGCAGTCTTTCTTATTATACAAGGAAAATTTCCAGGCATAATTTTAATAAAATGTGTCTCATCAATAAATTTAGTGCGGCAATCAGGAAGAGGAAAAGAGATGGGGTAGTTGGTTCACACATATCACACAATGCCATAAACAATGCTTTATAAACTACAATGGTTGGATTCATACAATCAAACCAAATCAGTATTATAGTTCAGTATGAATGCATTTCAAAATCCACCCAAGTAACATGATAAAATTATTTTCCATAGAATACTATATGTAAGATGTTACTCATCTGTGTGGTACCAGTTCAGTTGGAAGTATTCTGACAAGACAGAAAATGAAATTGAAATGCTGAGAAAAGCCGATATTTATGAAGTATTTTAGTAAGATTAAAATAATTTATCCTCTTACTTGGCCTTTTGGGAATTGCATTTGGAAAATATCAGATTGGAAAAAGTTAAATTTTTGATATTTTTGATTTAATATAAGCCTCAAGTAATATAAAGCTGTGTTGTAAAGCAAGCTCAATTGGAAAAAATCCTGCTCTTACTTTTTGTTTCTAAAATAAAGGCCAGATAAACCAATCTATGGCACAATCCCTTTTTTTCTCATGTGTAAGGCAAAAAAACAAAACAAAAATTACAAGCAAACTTCAGGGATTTTATTTGGTCACGGCAAGTGCATTATCACTGTCTGCTAAGTATGATCAATAGTAGGTAATTATGACAGTTGTGTAAAATAAGCAAAGTATCTAGAATATTCTGGCCATAAAAGTTCTCTCTGTCAAGAAAAGTTGAAAGTGAGGTTGGAAGCTATTGGAAAATGCTAATCAGTGCTATTTATGCTTGTATGCTGTCCTCATCCCAGATAAAGGTAGGATTTTGTATAAAATGTTTGGCCAACTATAAATGTTTGGCTTGGCCAGCTAAAAATTATACATTTTTAAATGTCCATGCACCATAACAACAATATTAATGCAATTATATTACAATTATTCAACCTAAATATTTTGACATATGCCAAGAGAAATATTGCTTAGAAACTTGATTAATTCACCTTTTTCAGTACTTACCCTAAAGCTTGAAAAGAAGGAATAGAACGGGCCCAGTGCATAGATAAGAAAAGCAATCTGGACGCTGATTCACAAATATAATGAACATTCAAATATTCAGGCATAGGTGAAGGCATGGTGAGCTGTCAGAAAAGAATTTTAAAAATGAACTTTTCTGATATAAGTTGTATATAAAGTGTGTGTGTTTCAAAGCCTAGCATAGTATCAACTATCAGAATTGGAACACTTTTTAATTAATACCAATATTCTTAATAATCTGTCTCAGATAAATGAATTATTATAAAAACTTCACATAAATATAAATGTATTTCCTTCAATAAAACTATACTAAAAGAGAATAAAGAATAGCATATTCAAAATAGTTTACAGAATAAACAATGTCCATATAATCTGTTCCATTCCAATATCACTGTTAACTTAGCAAAGATAAATGCTTCTTTTTCCTTCTGACCCATTCTTATTTCCTTAAATTCTCTGTTGTGCCAGGTGGCATAACAGATTTGAGTGGGTCCCAACCTCCAGGCCGCCTGGAAGATGTTAAGACCTAGGCTGAGATACTACAAGAATTCCAAATTAAGTCACATAATAGTGTGGGAGGCATGTTTTATTTTAAAAAGGCCCATAACTAGTACATTCTAAAAAACCTGAATTTTTTAGAAACCTGAACTTTGTTTACTAAGAGATATGTTGCACTGGTTTTGATATGTGAAATAATTTATTCTTTAGCAGCATATTATTAAAATGCATAATTAAACTTGGCTTGGAAAAATTAAAATAGCTACATCCTATATAAATTACTTAATACTGTTTTATTTAATTTCACATCTAGTAAAATTAGTCTACAGAGCTCTCATGGTGGGTATTTAGCCTCCATATCTATCAGAATTTCTACTGAACCATTCTATTATGTTCAAAGAGCTGTGGTGGTGCAGTGGTTAGAATGCAGTACTTAGGCTACTTCTGTTGATCACCAGCTGCCAGCAGTTTGGGTCTAACTGGCTCAAGGTTGACTCAGCCGTCCATCCTTCTGAGGTCGGCTAAAATGAGGACCCAGATTGTTGGGGAAAAATATGCTGACTCTATAAACCGCTTAGAGAGGGCTGTAAAGCACTGTGAAGTCTAAGTCTAAGTCTGTAAGTCTAAGTGCTATTGCTATTTACTGCAAAAGTATCAATTCTCCTTACTACTAAATGTTCTGTATTGGTACTCCTTGTTTAGTGACTGCTTTATACAACAACTATGCACAGTTACAGTATTTACCACCTTTGGACGTCTGTAAAGCAAAACATGAAAATCACAAGCACAGTAACAGTTTTACTTAGAGACTGCTCAGCTTAATGACCAAGCTGCTGGTTCTATTTGTGAATGTTAAACGAGGAGCATCTGCATTGCTCAATTAAGCAATTGATGTTCTCTAGAGCTGTCAACCACTACAATTGAACTCAAATACATTCCTCAAATATTAAATATATATAAACTCAAACTTTAAAATAATCCCTACAGAAGTTAAAACAGCAGATTTATAGATAAATGCATATTTTAAGTACCCGGAAAGCTACATGAGCATCGGTAAGTAGTGGGCCTTCTATTTCAACAATATTCATGCTTGCTTCTTCTCCAGCTAAATGAGCACTTGCTTCCATACTTTCTGCAGAACTCGGACATGGTGTACTTTCTCCTGGGTTTAATGCTTTTGCAAGAGTATCAAATGCCCTATAAACAATACAATGGATACTAAGATTAATCAACTATGAAAGTTATTGATCCAAAGAATACCAATTAAATTAAATTGTAAGAGGAAAGGAAGAACCAGAAATAAGTTCCCAATCCTGAATTTTGAAGACCAACTAGGCAGAACCTGAAGATACAATTTCCTTTTAGTACAAAGTGCTGAGGTGTGAGCCACAAACACTAGGATCCTGTTAATTCATACAGTTCATTCTTACTATCTAATATGCCTACAGTTCAAAACTCAATCAGTCAATATTAAAAAGAAAACTGTTACATAATTTTGAGTATCAGCATATATTTAGGATATTCCAAGAAATTCTGGGACATACCTCCAGGAAATTAGTTATCAGAATCATAAATCAACTTCAATCTGTGATGCAAGGTTCTGTTTTTTTTTAATCTAGTTAAATAGTTTCCTAAATTGAAACTATTGTTAATTAACCCATAAAAAGATGGTTCAAGGCACTCTAAAAAGATAAGAATGCCAAAATAATGGAGCAAGTGAACATAATATTCATGCATGTATCTCCTGCTCGAAAATCAGGTAGCGAGCATGACCAGTTTCTGCACAGCTCTGGTTTGTGCACCAGCTGCAATCTTTCCTGGTTTCTGACTCCCAGTGCTGTTACTCAAGCCCTAGTCATCTCTCATCTGGACTACTGCATATTCAAGGGGTGAAATCCATTCAGAAGTTTCAGCTGGCATGAAGTGCAGTGGTGTTTGGAGCCCATTTTATACTTCTGCTCTGCAAACGTGATTGTCTACAATCTGCTTCTGAGGAAAGATCAAGGTATTATGATCTTTAAAGCCTTTAATGGTAGGTCTAAGTTACATGATGAATCTTAATGGCACAGGTACAGGTTTACCTTGCCTGTCCTACTCATGCCAGCAGAAAGGGCATACTATAGGTCCTGTTGGTCAAAGAACTCTGACTATCAGGATCCAGAAGAAGAGCCATCTCTGCAACAGCGCCTGTCCTTTGAAACATCCTAACCTCGAGAGTAATATCTGTCCCCACTCTCTTACCCTTCCATAGAAGTCTGAAGACCTGCCTTTGCCAGTTGGCCTGAGGACCCAATGGGGGAGTTCCATGCTTGAGGTGGATGCTTGATTGATGGCAAACTCCACCTCCCCTCCTTGCTCTCTGCTCTTCACCCATCCACCTTTTTGTTATTATATTGATATATCCTTATTGTTTTTTCATTATTTATTTCATTGTTTTATTTTACTTGTTTTGTTTACATTTTTCATTTCTTTCTTTTTACAGGTAGACTTTGATTTACAAACATAACTGAGTCCAACATTTTTGTTGCAAAGTTTTCTTGCCACAGCTGTAAGGTGAATCACTATGGTTGTTAAGTTAGTAACAGTCATTAAGTGAATCTGGCTTCCCTATTGACCTTGTTTCCTAGAAGATGATCACATGACCCCAGGACACTGCAATTGTCATAAATATGAGCCAGTCGCCATGTGTTTGAATTTGATCTCATGACCTTGGGGATGCTGCAATGGTTGTAAGTGTGATAAATTACTTTTTCCAATGCTGTTCTAACTTTCAACAGTCAATAAACAAATTATTATAAGTCAAGGATTACCTGTATTGTGTGTAAGCTGGTTAGAATAGCCCCATTGCCAGTTAGGCAGCAAATAAATTTGATTAATTAATCTCGATAATAAAATAAAGTACATGTATCCCAAATAGGTATCTCTGTTAAATTCTGTTAAACACTTAGGTGGCTGATTTATATTGCCTACTAAGATACAGTTGAACATTCAACATTATTTTTTCAAATTTCTTCAAGATTGCATTTCCTATGTTATGACAGAACATTTGGATACTATTACTCCTTACCTTGAAACATCAGCACTTGCATGTTCATCTTGCTGAAGCTCTGATAATGATGTATCTCCATTGCTTAAGTTTTCTATCATTGACAGATCATCACTATTTTGAGATATATCTTTGGACTTATTTAGATTTGCTAATGAAGTTACAACATTTGCTAAAGTACTTAAATCTCCTTGACACGTTTCAACCTAAAGAATGGGAAAAAGTAACTTTGTCATTATTGATAGGTAGTATTCCTGGCACTATTCTTATTATTGCAGAATATTTGTTGATAGTTTTATAAGGTGCTTGATTAATAGACAAAAATCAAAGTACTGATACTAGCCAAATCATTATATATTTTAATTAAAAGTTATTGTTTAGCAATGTTTTTGACAGAAAGCGTTTTATAAATACTAAACTGGTAGAAATTGCTACAATCTTTATGTTAATAACCACTGAAATATTAGATGATACACAACTAACAATGACTACCAACTCTTACTTGCAGAAACAAGAACCTCAATAAATCTTGCCATAAAATTTCCATTTGAGAGATTAGCATAATGTTGCAACCTAGGAATTTAAACACAGTCTCTGTCATGTATTGAAAGAGAAGTCATTTGGGTTTTGAATATAAAAAGGGGATTCTTGCACATCCAAATATCCTCTCTATGACAACTTTCTTTGGCAGAGATTACTCAGGAAGTACTTTTGTCTTCGACTGAATTCTGATGTATATTTAATCTTTTTGTGGTGAGAAAAGATTCAATCAAACTATCCAAAGATTAGGATAAACACTGAGGTGATGATACAAGGAGGAGATAAGCATTGAAGAATAGGCCAAAAGAAAGTATTTTAAAACAATGTACAAAAGATGCATTTTAACAGAAAAAGTACAAGTCTTTAAAAAAAGACAGTCAGATGAACTCACTTTCTAATCACATTCAGAAATGTTTAATTGAACTTTATAGATAATAATATATTCAAAACTGTGAACAGTTTGACACCTAGTAAAATTTATCTTCTTAGGTTTAAAATTTTTTAAACAGAGTAAAGAATTTAAAGCAATTATACAATTAGCAAAAAGAAAAAAATGAAAAAGATTTGACTTTAAGAAAGTTTTAAACAGATTGGAAAACCGAAAAGATTTTGGAATATTGTTATTTTTGTTGTAAGAATTGAAAAACAAAAATATAATTAAATAATATACTTATGGGAAACAACTCAAATGGATCTAAATTTGTATTGGGAATGAGACTTGATGAAGATTGCAAATGGACATTGCAGGGAACTTATCAGAAAAGAGTTAAAATGGCTAAGCCAGTTCAAAAGAATATAAATTTGGATTATTTGATCAGGAAAAAATTAACTGTTTGATATTTATGGTAATTCCTAATGACTTTTTGCTGAACAAAGACCGAAAAGATGGCAATTCCCTAACTGCATATAGTTAAAGTTAGGCTAAGGGGAGAAGTTTTTTTTTCCCACCTTCATTTGCAGGTGTATTTTCACCTTCATTCATGAGATTTTTTTAATTTGTTCTTTAAAAAGAGGGTGGAATGCTATTATATTACCTTATGGATGGTATGATAAAACTTGGAAGCCACTTCTTTAATATTATAAAAATATTGTAAAAATCATTTATTTTATCCAATACCTTATCTGCAGTCATCAGTACTGCAGGTTCATTCTTTAATCCAGACTGATGAATATTAACAAACATTCCAGACTCCAACATTCCTGTTGATCTGAAATGAAAGAACACAAACATTGCTTCATGATTTTAGAAAGGCCTCAATGTCAAAGAGATTGAAACTAGATTAACATTTACATACCTTGCTGTTTCGCTATCTGTTACAAAAGTAGGAGTTGCTGTAAGTGGGCTTCGCAAATCTTTTCGAATATAAATCTTTTCTGTAGAAGCTGCACAATTTGAAGATTTTTCTCGCGATGCTTCAACGGGTTTTCTTTCACATTGTACAGCTACAAAGAATGATGGAATTATCAAAATCAATTCAATATTCAACACATTTGGCTTTAATTTTAGAAAACTGTTTTGGATTTTTAGTTACTTGGTCAACTTGATAGTTTTAAATGTAATTGCTTCTTGTATCAAATCTAACCAATTTATTTTGAAACAACCTCAGATATTATTGATGATTATCTTATGGCTTGAAGTTTGGTATACAGAATAGCATACCATTATTTCTTTTATACGTAAATTCTAATAGAAACAGCATACGTATAAATATATATAAATGTATAAAGCTTATCAAGATTAATATTATAAGATCAGAATTCATGCAGGGGAAACAGGAGGTTAGGAATAAGAAGATCATAACTTTATAGTATTTTCTAATCACTTTTTATTACTGAAACATTCCCAGTATTGTATTTCTATCAATGCATAATTATGCAAAACCTAAATAAGAACATTTTTTACAGTATTGCCAATTTATGTAACTGTACATTTTCATAAGAAAATATTCGTTCGTTAACATTTCTACAACAGTAATTTCCAATCTTATATTGTCTCTGGAATGTTTGAAGATATTCATTCAATTATTTTCTCTCAAGTCTGTATTTGTTATCTCTGGAGAAATAGTGAGCCCAAAGGGCTTAGCAAAGACTAACAACAGGTTTATTTACTGTATAATTGTGTCCGTTTGCACAGCAAGCTCAATCCTCTCATTTGGTTGTATGTTTTAAAGCAATTACAATATCTTTGGTAAACCTCCAAGAAAATTGATACTTATTTTATTGAGAATCTCTAGAAGCCTCCTAAGGAATCTTGTGGTCTGTTCAAACAGAATTTGAAAGTGATTGGTCTGAAAAAACTGATGCCACTGTTTTGAGCATCAGAGAAAGATCTCTTTCAACCCAAGTAAATGAATGAGTTGTTTTTCATAGAGGTCAATATGTATAGTTCTCTGTTTTATAATGGCGGAAAAGAATGAGACTTGTAAAATCTAAAATATCTTACATCTTTAAGATATACTGCAAGCCTCTTTATCAGTATTATAAACTATGGTGGCGCAGTGGTTAGAGTACAGTACTGCAGGCTATTTCTGCTGACTGCTGGCTACCTGCAATTTGGCAGTTCAAATCTCACAGGCTCAAGGTTGACTCAGCCTTCCATCCTTCTGCATAAAATGAGGACCCAGATTGTTGGGGGCAATATGCTGACTCTGTAAACTGCTTAGAAAGGGCTATAAAGCACTTTGAAGCAGTATATAAGACTAAGTGCTATTGCTATTATATATGCACACATCTAAGAATTCTAACCTACAGATAGTCCCTGACTTACAACAGTTCATTTAGTGACCGTTCAAAGTTACGTCATTGAAAAAAGTGACTTATGATCATTTTTCACACTTACGACTATTGCAGCATCCTTATGGTCATGTGGTCAAAATTCAGACATTTGGCAACTGATTCATATTTATAACACTTTGCCTTGGCCGAATAGGTGGCAATATAAATTCAATAAATAAATAAATAATGTCCCAGAATCATGTGATTTTCTTTTGTGACCTTCTGACAAGCAAAGTCAATGGGGAAGCCAGATTCACCTAACAACCAAGTTACTAATTTAGCAACTGCAGTGATTTACTTAACAACTGTGGCAAAAAAGGTCATAAAATGGGGAAAAACTCACTTAATAAATGTTTCATTTAGCAACATAAATTTTGGGCTCAATTGTGGTCATAAGTCGAGAACTGCCTGTATAAGAATCCTAATAAGAAAGATCATTCCCAAAATAATTTAGTCTTTACGGCGTTAAGTGGCATTTTCTTTCTAAAACTTTTAATTTATTATTTACCAAGATAAATGTATCATGCAAGAATGGTGCAAAAAACAATACAGCATTACATGAGTGTATTTCTTTTAAACTTACAGTCTTGTTTCATTCCAAATGCAATACATCTCTGCAACCTACAGTACTGACATCTGTTTCTATGATGCTTGTTAATCACACAGTCTCTTGTTCCCCGACATGAATATACTAAATTCTTCCGTATACTTCTTTTAAAGAATCCTTTGCAACCTTCACAGGTCACTGCTCCATAATGGCGTCCTGATTTCATAACAAAATGTATTAATTTTACTCTAAGTTTGCTTCTGTTAATACACACTAACAAATGTACTGTTCTCAGAACTACTGTATGCTCAAAATGTTCTCAAAATACAAAATGTTTCATGCTTAAAATGAGATAAATGTTGCCACTGAGAAAAGAATGCAGGCTTATGGAATGCAGACATTTTTATATTTCTAGCATACACTCATCAGAGATACTCCTATCAAGTACATGGAAATAGAAATTGATATGCTCAAAGAACTGTGCTAGTTATCACATATAAGTGCTATTCAAAATGGCTCATTTTAAGCAGAATTATTTCAGGCTTTCAACAGTTTGATTTTTCCTTTCTAATATGTGGCAAATTGTTTTTAACAGCTCGTAGCTTTGATGCAGTCATATTTATGCAATGTTTATTACTCATAAAAGAAAAAGAAAATTAAATGCTTCATAAGATGAACATAGGTTAAACAGTCTTCCAATTCAATCTTCAAAGTATATAGTGATTTACCTGAAGCCTTGTCTCCACAAACAACACAAAGATCAAATACTTTATTTAAGGTTTGTTCTGCTAAAGAATTGTCTGTCAAAATCTGAAAAAAAAATTACAATATAATACATCTTGTTTTCACTTACTTGTTTGCTTAAAGTCATATCTATAGAAATCCCCAAAAACCAAGGAAGCTAAGCATATTTCAAAGGTGTGTGTATGGTAATATTTCAGAAATTATTATAGCTTTACCTATAATCCTGCACTTGGTAAAAAATGAACAGAAAAGAATAAAAATTATTATTATTAAAGGCTTATAAGTCTTTCTTTAATTTAATTTTTCTATTTTATTGAATCTATTCAAAATTAAATTGTATTTACTTTAAAATATTAAGATTTAATTTAAGATGCAGAATATGTAGAATGATTATGAATACAGTTTTATTATATTTTTTCTAATTTCATGAGTATCATAAACAATAAAACTATTCACTGGACTACATTCTTCATTATCTAATTTATATCAAAGAACTCAGTATTCCTCTTATCTCAAGTTGCTATATGTTGATAGCATGAAAATGCTTAGCATAATTACTGGGAACAAAGCTTTCATTTTTAAAAGTTGTATGAATAAACTATCATAAAATAGGACTTCATACCTGAATGTGCTGTGCAGATATATCTGGAGTTGTAAAAAATAGTTGGCCTCCTGCAGCATCGGGAGTTGTTAGAAAAACTTTTCCTGGTGTAGCATCTTGTCTTGCAAGGATCACTTTACTTGGGGTAGAACCATCATGATTTGTTAAAATGAACTGCTTGCTTGTTGCAGTCTGATCGAGTGCTGTCACAATCTGAATTTTCTGCCCTGTCTGTTGATCTGTAACGATCTGGTGACATATTTACTTCAACTTATTATTGTGGTTTATTATAATTTTTTAAAAAAGATGTGATCTAAGATAAGCTGTGATATTATCAAGTTTGACTGACAAAATGAATCTGCTTTCAGAAGGTCATCAAGTATAGTATTCCATGAATTAACATTAAGGACAACGATATTTCAGCCTTAAAAATTGTGCCCAGATAACTCTCAGAATCCTCGTCTGTGGAAAATTACTCAATGGAATACATTTTATAGTTGAGTTCTCAATTTACCAATAATTTTAAAAAATCTATACTTGCTGGCCTGAAAAGGATTTTATAACTTTTATTAAAGAGATAATAGAAATCAAAACCCTAAAAAATACATGCACATATTGGAATTGTTTCAATTCTTTTCAAGGCAAGAATTTATTCCTAAAAATGTACAATAGAAAGAATACTAGACAGCCATCCATCTTTCTCAGTCAACGTGTTGGAAAAAAATTATTATCAAACACATTGTCAGGTTTCCAAGTGATAAAATCCATTTTAAAAGAAAATAACAAAGTCCATCTTCAAAAAGATTTCTTTTATTCAGGAAAGCATCAAATTGGCAAAGTCCATAATAATTCCAGATCTGACCCAACCTGGAATTACCCCACAACATTAGAAGTTAGAAACAACCCCAAAAGTCACATTCTCCAATAGAAGTAATTCAACGTTGCTTGATGTCATAAATCTCCACCTCCAGGGACTCATTTCCCATAGGAAAGAAGATCACCTAGCCATAACAATCTCTTTATCTCCACTCCTCCCCCTTTAGGAATGTGTCAAGCCCGAAACCTTCCCCCCATTACTGCCACAGAGAAAATAAGAAAAAGAATATATATTAAGACAAACTAAAATGGCTATACTTAGGTCAATTTCGGGCTGAACAACATTAGAAGAAAAGAATTGGAAGGGACCTTGGAGGTCTTCTAGTCCAAAACCCTGCTTAGGCAGGAAACCCTACACCACTTCAGACAAATGGTTATCTAGTCTCTTCTTAAAAATTTCCAGTGTTGAAGCATTCACAACTTCTGGAGGCAAGTTGTTTCACTGATTAACTGTCAGGAAATTTCTTCTTAGTTCTAGGTTGCATCTCTCCTTGATTAGTTTCCACCCATTGCTTCTTGTCCTGCCCTCAGGTGCTCTGGAGAATAGCTTGACTCTCTCTTCTTTGTGGCAGCCCCTGAGATAATGGAACACTACTATCATGTCTTCTCTGCACTCTGAGTCTCAAAATCTTTTTTACATCGTGGTGACCAAAACTAAATTAGATGGGAAGGCTAATCTAATGCATTAATGAGAGACCATTCCTTTTATACTATTGTATGTAAGTAATATAAAGTACATCAGTCCCCTCAAATGTATAGTCTATTTCTGCATTCAGAAGATAATCTCTTCTCCATAAGAACACAGGGGAGCTTTCACAGTTGCTTGTGTTTTTCTGGAAAACACTTTTATATGGAAATGAAAGAAATCAATATTCTCACTGTTTTCTTCTGACTTGTTCCTTGGCTTGAAGAATTAAGAGGTACACAAATTGAAGAACAGAGTAACAGTTTGTAATCACCCTTTTTTTCTTTTCCAAATTACACATCTTTATTTTCATTGTTAACAGTACTATATCATAGATATTACATATACTTACATTTATTTCAATACATTAATCCTTATTCCTATGTTCTACCCACTTATACCATTTATCCCATACCACGTAGTATTCTGATTCCTCCTTGCCTTTTAGGTCTATTGTAAGTTTGTCCACATTCTGGTATTTTTTGTATTAACACCTCTTCAGATGGTATGTTTTCTAGTTTCCAACCCTGCATGAAAACTACCCTGGCTGCTGTTATTATGTGCAATGCGATGTATTGGATTTGTTTGCTAAATTTCCCTCTAATCATTCCCAGTAGGACAAGTTCGGGTTTAAGTTGTATTTGATGCTCTGTTATCACCTGTAGCCATCTCTGTACCTTCGTCCAATATTTTCTGGCTTTGGGGCATGTAATTACCCTCTAATACTGAAAATATTGGCAGCTTTCTTTTTACGGAATATTTCTTTTAAAAGATAATATCATATTATGTAATAAAAGAATGTATGTTATTCTAGATATTTCCATTTTATTATTTTTTTCTGTGTATTTTTCTAGGGCTTTAAAAATCATGTTATTGTACATCTGATGTTTAGATACCAAAATTTTTTCAATTATTTAATTAAGTGCAAAAAGAGACAGCTTTTTACCTCTATCCGCTGTGGTAAGGAAAGTCCTGCATCAGCAGGAACAATCTGAATTCTTTGTGCTGTTCCGTCCATTAATGTCTGTGTAACAGATCCTTGGGAGTGTGTTATCTACAAAAAAAGAGTGAAAGCTGCATTCTTTATTGGAAGAAAACTCCTCTAGCATGAGATAAAGTTATTTGCTTTGTACTCAAGATGTCTATAAAATTCTAGCGTTGAATAATGACCTACTAGAAAATTTCTATAAACTCCTTATTATTAATAAAACTTGTTTAAAAATATAAATACCTCCCCCATTTGTTGTTCCATAATTTGATGGGCCAATTCCTCAATAGTTGCCATGATTCTGAATCATCAATATTCCCTGTTAAAGAGATATTTTCCTTTTAAAAAATTATAATACAAATAATGAACAATTTGGGTAAGAGAAGTAGTTGACCTCATGTTACTTTAATTTCCCTCTTTTTTGCAGAGAAAAATGTACCCCTTTCAAGGTCTATTCCATGTAGGTTCATGACATTAGCATTTCCTGCTTATGCAAAAAAGAACAAATAGTCTTCTGGCAACCACAACTGGTAACAAATAGTCTTCTTCAGGCAACCACAACTGGTACCAGCAATTTGATCATAAAGTGAAGCAGTCACTAAGTAAAACCTTTATTATATATATAAGTAAAACCAGCCTTTGTGATCTTATTTCAGTTTTCCTTTGCTGGAAGTCTTAAATGAAAGGATTGGACGTAAAATTATTTTTCATCACCTTCATCACTGCAAATAGTTGCTAAACAAGGTATAACTGCAAGCGAAGCAATCACTAATGAGGATTACTTCTATTGTTCTACATTCCTAGTTATTTATTCACCCAACATACTATATTAGCACAACAGGTAAAGAAAAGACCATGCTATATGGCTATATTTTTAAAAGTGGACTTGACTGTACACATAATTACTAAGTTTTTTTAAGGCATCTTTTAAAAGTTGATTTTGAACAAATATCTATCCATTACAGAAGTGTATATTTCCTTAATAATTAAGTATTAATTTCAAAGCCAGCATAATTTCTACAAATTTCCTCCCAAAGAACATACCTTCTAGGATAATGTTTTTGGAAGAAAATGTTTGTATAAGAAAATATCTAAATAGCAATCATAATAATAAATCCAGGAAAACAGGAAAATAGTTTTTTTCCCCATCTAAACTGAAGCCATAAAAGGCTACACTGGTGGCTTTCACAGATCTGATTCTGTCACTCACTACAGAGGCAATATAAATTTTATCTGAAATACCTGCTTGATTTTACTACACATAATCTTTGACTTACGACTACAATTGGGATCTAAATCTTGGTTGCTGAATGAAGTAGTTGTTAAACTCACGATTGATTCACTCAACAACTGTAATGCTGGCACTCTTGGCTGAGGTCATTAACTGATCTCCAGGGTGGTTAAGGAAGGGGACAGAGTGAAATAACAGCCTGTCAAAGGATTTTGGTTTCTCTCCATGCGTGGAACAGAACTTTGAGATCTGAACTCCGTTTCTGCAACCTAGTGAAGTTCAACTTCCTTCTGTGCACAAACAAAACGCCTTTGTCAGGCTGCAGGAATGGAACTTGGAGTTCCAGCATCCAGGATCTATTTCTGGAGTCCAGTAAAAGAATTTAGCTTCCCTTAGCAGGCAGCTTTTTGACCAGCCCCGGAGACAAGAATTCTTGGCAGGCAGCTGCAGCATTCCCTGTCGGCTTCTACATTGATTTTCTGGAGAAGCTGGTAGAGAAGATCGCAAATGGCAATCATATAATTACAAGGCACTTGGCAACTGGTTCTAAGTGCAAACAGCTTGCCAAGTGCCCCAAAAGCACAAACTGTGATCATGAGAGGGATGTTTTATGAGAGCTGTAATTACTTAATGAACCATAAAACATTTTCCAAGGCCATTATAACTTTGAATGGTTAAACCACCGGTTGTATGTTGAAGACTGTTCTTTTTTTTTTTTTCAAATTGTTTCTTTTCATTTTTAATATAATTAAATATAATTTCTGTATTAGATTTTCCAAATTATATCCATCCTAAATGATTCATCCACACTAGAATGCAGGCTTTATGTGCTTAAATACATAAACATTATTTATGAGTAGACTGATGTCAGGTGTTTAATTTTCCTTGTTTGTATTATTTTTATTTTTTTTCTTTTGTTAATTGTTCCAGTTGAATTGAATGATGAAATATAAACGAACAGAAATCAAGCATTCTTCTTACCATAGGTATAATGTTATACTTCAGTTCCTGTATGCATAATCATTATTTGAAGACTCCTGTGAGTTTATAGAAAGAAATATAATTCATTATAAAGCATTATGAAATCCAAAAATGGATTTATAGAAGAATTTTTAATTCAATGCAAAAATTAGCCAAATACCAAGCACATATATTTTATTAAAATTTAATTATTTGAAGTGAAGATTGTCAATGACTTTTCAATATTTTTAATTGATTATGAATATTTAATATATACATGCACACATTCAGATCTGGATTCTAAAGGGAAAGGTGATTGGGAATGCATACATCATATCTGTCAGCACCCCCTTAAAGTAGATGCATTTTCATTAAATTTGTGTAACAGTAGTTGTGTAAATTAGAAAAGGAATTACTGATAGTGCAAGATGAGTGCCCATATAGAGGAAAAGCAAGGACTGTTCAATGCTAGACTACCATCTAATCCTCTAACATTTGACTGAAAGTGTATTACATGGCAAACTCATTAGACAGCATTAATTGGATCTCAAGAAGCAGGATATGGGAGAAACCAAGTCTCATCCACTGATTATTGATCTTCCCACACTAATTATGAAAAATAACATCATACTAGTCCCATTCAGACCATCTCTCCTCTCTCCAACAATATATACTCAGAAGGTGATGAAGCAGGGATGTACATTTGTCCCAACTTCATTCAACTACTCTATATTAGGCAAACTATCAAAAAAGTAACACCACCCACCTACTATGGACAATAATTAATTATTGGCCCTTAATTGGCTATAATAAAATTCTACTGGAAATATAAACATAAGTTTCTTGACCTAGATTTTTTTTTAAACCCTAAGATTTACTTCAAAAATCTGAAACTTAGGCATGCTAGGAAGGCCATTGTCAGGTCAAATACCTTAACAGCATTTTGTGTCTAGATGCAAATGAATCTGTACATTAGCTAGACTCAATGTTTCATCTTCACCTTTTCAAGAAGGGTATGGAATGGCATACTAATACAATAACATCCATACATATAGAAAAATTGAATGAATGTCCATGTCTATGTTACCCCTTTTATTTAAATTGGCATTAAAGACCCGATTACACTTCTTTTAACAAGAGACAGGCAAAATACAGATGCTAATCTTACTGACGCCTTTATAGCAGACCCTTTGGATATGACCTTAGGAGAGTGGCCATTTGTCCTGAGATAAGTTTAGTTTTCCCTATATAATTTTATAATCTTCTGATCAAAGTATTTTAAAAATCATCACATTCTATAATGTTATGCAACAATTAATGTTAGCTAATAAATGTGTATTACTTCATTTATGTTAACAGAGTTATCACTTAAGAAATTAAACATTCTAATTACAATTAACTTAAAAATTAAATATTTGAAGTTTTTTGTGATGGATAATTTAATATTTTAGTAATTTAGTAAATTAGCTCTGAATATTTTATACTGTTAGCTTTATAGATTTTTTAAACTCTTATTTATTTTATAATGGTCTACCATTTTATCGGAATTTACCTTTTTCTTTTAACGTAATGTTTTTATTTGTAGTTACTGGTAATAATAAAGCTATTACCACTAGTGCCTACATACATTGTTCTCTGAACTACTTTGCTCATTTGAAACTTTATCACTGCCTAACCCTAACATATATACACACACTTTATGAGATACTTTTTATGGCAACTAAGATTTTTTTCTTAATATAATAAATAAATAGCACATTAAAAAGCATATGCCCACTATTTTTGTTCTATCCAGTCATACCAGCATTCCCAGCTTCTATAATATTCTGATGTTTCTTTTTCCTTAAGTGCTAAGGTTAACTTATCCATCTCTGCACAGGCTGTTATCTTCTGAATAACCATTTCCTCTGTTGGAATATCTGCTTGTTTCCAACACTATGCAAAGGTTATTCTGCCTGCAGTAAGAATGTACAGTATTATATATTTGACTTTTTTAGAAATTTGTCTATTAAATATCCCCAATAAGAATAATTCTGGTTTTAATTCAATTTGCTCCACCGTTATTTCCTCTAACCATTTTTTAATTCTATGCCAGTATCTTTGGGCTTCAGTGCAGGACCACCACATGTGAAAGAATGTTCCCTGTTTCTTTTTACATTTCCAGCAATTCGGATTCATGTTAGGAGACATTTTTGCTAATCTCGAGGGTGAGAGATGCCATCTATAAAACATTTTATAGGCATTTTCTTTATATGTTGCCGATTTTGTAATTTTATTATTCCTTGATTAAAAATAGTTATCTTTTCCCATTCTAATAATGTAATGCTACGTCCTATGTTTCTGCTCCAAGCTTTCATGTTGCCTTCCTCTTCCTCTTTTTAAAAAGCATATGCCCACTATATGGCATTATGTACATTGCAAACCAAAATTTGTTCAAATTATATCAATAAATGTCTAGTTCCTAAGAATGCATCCTTCTAGCAATTACTTTCCAACCTTGAGAAAAAGCTAGATGTATTAGAAACTATGTTATAACAAATTCTTGGTTAATGCCATGTTTTTGTCTTTGTCAATGCACTGACTCTTGACTGCCCAGAGAAATCCCTGCAGTGTTCTTGGCAAGGGTTTTTGGAAGTTGTTTATCACTGCCTTAGGGCTGAGACAGACTGGCCTAAGATCATCCAAATTGGCTTCATGACTAAGGCAGGACCAGAACTAATGATATCCCAGTTTCTAGCCTTATGCCTTAACCACTACCCCAAATTGGTCTCTAGGTACCATATATTCTCAATTCCTTAAGTATTTTTATAACATTAATCTTCACTGTATCTGTTTACAGAAAGTTCTTGTTCATTATGAGTGGATTAAAAATTTAAGCTTCATATAAACAGTTTTCTATCCATGGAATATTTGAAATGATCATAATTTGTGTATCTGAAAAGATTTTTCTTCACAATTTCTGAAAATTTCTTAGGTTAAAGTTGTTGAGACATGTTATTCCATAGCTAATCTTGTTTGATTTTTTTTTGTGACTGAATGGACATTATTTTGTTGGAATCTTGGTTCCTGGAGATCTTATAGATTCATGCTAAGTCATTGTGATACTTCTAGCTACTATATTGTCTGTTGGTCTTCAATTACCTTTGATTCTTCCAAGCAAGATATGGATGATTCTTTACACTATATAGCCAAAATATTTAAGCTTTATTTTTTTATTAGCATTTTCAGTCTAATTTTTCTCCATGTAGCATTGACTGTTTTATTCTTACACTCTATAAAGTTCTCAATGAATTTATTGAGAACCACACTTCAAAGGCATCCATTTTTCTTCATTCGGCTTTTTGAATATGTTTTCAAAGCCATATTTTACAAATCAGAAAACTATGATCTTGACAATATTGTTTTAACTTTCTTGAGAATGTTATGTCTCTGCATGTACATGTAGTCTTCAACTTATAACAGTTTATTTAGTGAATGTTCAAAATTTTAATGGCACCAAAAAAGGTGATTTATGACCACTTTTCATACTTACAACCATTGCAGCATCCTCTGGTTTTTCTGAATTAAAATTCAGATGCTTGGCAACTGCTTCATATTTATGAGTTGCAGTGTCCCGGTATCATGCAATCCCCTTTTGCAATCTTTTGACAAGCAAAGTCAATGGGGAACTTAGATTCATTTAACAAATATGATACTAATTTAACAACTGTAGTGATTCACTTAACAACTGTGGCAAGAAAGATCATAAAATGGGGGCAAAACTCATTTTACTTTCTCATTTAGCAACAGAAATTTTGGCTCAATTGTATCATAAGTCAAGGACTGCCAATATTGTCTACATATTGTTATTCACTAACCTCATATCCTGGGTTTGCATTGCAAATAGGCTTTGGACATATGCGACTGCATAAACAGACTAAATTTGCACAACATGCTAATTTTGTACAGATAGTGCTCAACCTATGATAATTTTGTACAGATAGTGCTCAACCTATGACCAAAATTGGGACCAGAATTTCCACTGCTAAGCAAGGTGGTTATTGAGTGAGTCACACCCAATTTTACGGTCCTTTTGCATCGTTTGTAGGTGAAATACTGCAGCTGTAAATTGCATCATGTAGTCGTTAAGCAAGTCCAGCTTCCTTCATTGACTCTGCTTGCTGGAAGCTGAGTGAAAAAGTCGCACATTACCTGGGATGTTTGACACCTTTTGGAACAGCAAGCTATACTTTGTTTAGTAGATGAATTGCCTTCTCCTTACAATTTTTAAATTCACTTTTAAGTTTTTGGATTAAATAAAAGCAAAAAGAGTGGTCAGATTATTGGTTGTGGAAAATTAGCAATAGATTTAGGATTCAGATGGACTTTGAATTGTAATGTTAAATTATTGGAATTCCCCTCATGGGAAAGTGGGATTTCTTGGGTTTTCTTAGGTCAAACAAGATAATGGACATTGGAGATAGCTGGAATATAAGAAAGAGGACAACTGAATAAAGAATGGAAAATATTTTAACACCATGTTCTGATGAAAATTTATGAAAAATGGTCCTGAAATGTTTAGAAATGATGAATACATGGATTGTTAAGGAAAAGAACAACATTTTTTTCTGGATAAATTTGAAATTAATCTGAGTTTAGATATAAACTCAGTAGCAAACAGTATACAGAAAAGGATGTAGTTGACTTACAAATGAAACAGGATCATGCTTTATCCAAGCAATAATCCAGAAAAGAGATGATCTGCTAAAGTCTTGAACAATTTTTTGAAAAGTGACCAAAAAACTGTCCCCTTATTATATGCACAGAAGACACCTACAACAGTTTTAGAAGATTTTTGGTGAAAGGACAAAAAAAAAAGACAAGAAATTAAGCTCTGGCACTCCATTGCAAGGAGTTCAGAATTAAGAATCTTAAAATTATAGAGAAGGAATATAAAGTTGACTTATTCAATTAAGGTTAAGAAAGGTTAAGAAAGATAATTAGTTATATGTGGCATCACTCACTGGACTTTTGCTGATAAATTAAGAGAGAAGAGATGAACAGAATACATTCTGTATCGTAAGAGAGGTGATACATT